TCTAAAAGTGCATACATATATCTAAATTTATACTGGAAAAGCACTGAGATAGCAAGAATCCTCAGACAGAAACCCAGACCAAAAGATCTATATATTCAAAATAACCTACCGCATTGTTTACTGGCAGTGTATTATTTTCTTCCATTTCTGCGAGTACTAATTCCAAATCGTCATCCACTGAAAAATGACTCCTTGCATATACTCGGTATGAATAAATGTTCAACCCTGTTTATTTTCCACGCAAAGGTATGATTTCGGATATTGCTTCTACGCATTTATTTGCAACATTACATCATCTTCCACAAACAAAGTTTGTTCATCTGAAATTTGTAAGCAATTCTAGCTCTTGAAGCTATCAGATCTAGCACCCTTCGTCATTTCTTAAGGATCATTCCAAAATATCTGAAATGAATTAGGTGGAAGATTTGGACAAAGAACTACTCGCCAGTCTTTGATAACTTGTCTGTTTGTTGTTGTCGACTAGGACCAGGCTGACTACCATTTACATTTATATCGTCATTGGCAGTCATTGCACACATTCTTTTATCATCCTGAATGCTTAGTGCCAAATTCGGCATGACTATTCCGTCCGTCGGCTCGTCCATTTCTAAAATACTAGGAATATCACAGAACAAAACCTCAAATTAAAAATACCGAAATTAGCGTAGCAATCGACAATTAACGCGCCCATGAAAAATGAATTTCTAGTTTATAAAAGAACTACAGAACGACCAGAAAATCAGTGATTCATCGATAATCAGCAATGCAACTGCGTGCAAACACCATCAACTTCTAGGAAATGGTCAGTGATGTCAGAGTTTAACCATTTATTTTCATCACTCACTAGCTAGGTGAAACTAGTGTATTCAATGACAAGTTATATAATCACTGATAAAGATATATGTCACCGAGAAAAACGGAAGAGTTACTAAAAACAGAACATAACAAAATATTTAACGGAAATAAGCCAAACATGATTCCTTGAAAAAATTTTAAAAAAAGAAAAGCATAAAAATTCAAAATCCCAATAACCTTTTTACAGAAACGAAAATAAAAGATTATTGAATCTTTATACTGCAAACTGATATTCATTAGGGTGCATTAACGAAACACACCCGTCTACAATTAGCACTTTGTTTTTGCAGTACTTGAACATTTTGAAAAATAAAATGCCCTCCTTTTCAAAAGAAACTAATTACAACTTAAAGTATATTGATCAATGGTTTCTGTATGCATGACATGAGCAGTTCTCTGTGAAAGAAAATTTCAAATTCTTATCAAAAAGTGGCAAATGAAATTTGGCGAATTAGAAAAAGATGAACAAATATACAATGGAAGCTTACCCGAAAGCGATTAAATTTTTAGTTCTAAAGAAATAAGAAAAAGTGTTGAGAGGCAATTCACAATTCTTATAAAAACATATGGAAAGAAGGAGGTAAACTAAAAGTGAAAAAGACATTATCATAGTAAATGTAGAAAAAAAAAAAATCAAAGCACTTAACGAAGCAGTGTTTCATAGTAAAAAACACATTTTATAAAGACCCGGTTAAGAACCCGACAATTTATTTCTGTATCTTTGCCTCACTTGTCCTCCTTTTACTATCATTATCCTTCTGTATTCAGAGATGAAACTAATTGGATGAGATTGCGCTGAACTTGAAATGATTACTGTCTTCCCTTCAGTACCAATATCCAAACGCTCTCTCATTTCTGCTCTCCTGAATTAAATTAGATTCCATGAAGAATTAGACGTAATTCCTTCAAAAAAGGGGGAAAAGAGGAAACGATACTTACATAGTACATATCAGACTCAATGTCAGACAAGGTTCCCGAATAAAATTTCTTCTAAATGTACACATATGCAGGCACTAATTATCAATCTCCTTCAGATATTATTCTTCATTTGAGGAGCGGTTTTCCAGAATTCTGGAAAAGAAAAGATTAAAAAACAAGAACTTTTTCTTTTGGTTATAAGACTTAAATTATTTCAAACATACATTACAAAAGATTTTACTGCAGATCAGAAAAAAAAACGATTTTTGTCGCGAGCATCAAACATAATCTACCGCAGAACAAACCTGTTTAGTTGAAGTTACTCCATTCAACACATCTTTGAAAGAATTCATTGCTTTCGATTGCTCGTCTAACTGAATATTCAAATTGGCAATATGTTCATGCAAGTTTTGTAACTGCACTTCATAGCTTTTCCGTGTCACTTCTAGCTCCTCCTGAAGCACTTTTTATTTAAACTCAAGCTCGAAAAAAGAAAATAATTCCAGTCGAATGAAAAGTTCAACAATTATTATTCTATCAATTAAAACAACCTTCAATGCTGATTCCCTGGCAGTTACAAGGCCTAGTTCTTCGCGTAGCGCTTTATTTTCTTGCTTTGACAGCTTGGCTAATTTGAGCAGATCTTTACACTGAAATAGATATTTGCATTTATTTTAGCTTCTTATTCTTATAAAATGATACATAACCGATGGCAAAAGCTGAAATTGGCGATAAACTGCGCCATGAAATATGCAAAAGTAAACAAAATAAAATTTGAAGCAGGTATAACAAACCTCATATTTATAATAGAAAGCTCGACTACGAACATGCTCGATATCAGCATGTAATTCACCAATTCGTTCTTCGAAATATGAACAAATCACATCTGCATCCTTACAAGGAAATTCCGACACTGCATTTCCAGATTCCAAAGACCTAAACAGTTAGGTGTTTCAAAAAGAAGCAATATCATTTAACCTCTTAATATCATTTAACCGATCTGCATTACTTATCTCAGAATACTTGCGAAGTATAAAGTAATGCTTCATCATAATGATTTTATAGCCATCTGGACATATGGATTAAAAACTGTTTACAATACGCCTGAAAAAACACTGTAAAATATGTGGGAAAAAAGTTAGTCAAAATAATGCCACTACACATAATTAAAAGCTCTCACTTCACTGACTCCAATTTCATTTTAAGAAGTTCATAATTCAAAGCGATCCGCTCTTTTTCTTTTTCTAGTTCAACAATCCTTTTCGTTGCTAATTCCATCTGTAAAGACAAAACAGTGTACAAAATAGTGTAGAAAAGACAAGCAGCCAAGAATTTCCACAAAGTTCTAAAAATCTAGTGATAATTGAAGTTCGTATCGAACTGTCATATTCGACCATAAATTAAGACTATATATTATTAGATGTAAGAGTATGTTATACGACAAATGCAAGATATACTTCGGATTTCCAAAAATCAGCAGCTGATCGTTGACATTTGCTTTCTGACATCTGTTCCTGCAACAAAACATTTTTATCCATATTTCTACCGTTAAGAGAAATAACATCCTCGACATCCACATAAATAGATATAACATCAAAGTGTCAACAAATATACCTCCTCATGCTCAATTTCGCCACCGTTTTTGTTAGCTATCACCTTCATACCATTATTTGACAATACAGAATCCAACGGAGGGCACGCAACTTCTGTACTCTCGGGAACAACGTTTTCCCTGGAAACCAAGCTTTCAGCTTATAAATTCTTGTCACATCCATCCCCATAAATAGCCTAATGTTTTAACATACTCTTTTAGTTGACTAGAGCTCATTATCAGCTGTACAAATGCAGCAAAGCTATTCAAATTGCGATGCAACGATATCAAACAATTGTTTATACATTCATTGACACAGCGTAACCGTTTCGTAGCTGTTGGGATACGATTTTCGTTGAAAATTTTTGCTGTATAAGCACGACTGCAATCTGTAAAAAAAAAAAAGTTATCAGGAATTCTCTTTCATCTCATCGCATAAACGAATATAAACGAATTCATTTCCATGTAAATAACATTTGGTATGCTACAACAAACTATCCAAATTGTACCTGCTAACGACGTTTTCAATTTTTCGATCAGTGCAAATAATTCCGTTGTAGACTGATCATCGCTGCACTCAATTTGTCGAGAAAGAGCAATGAGAAATCGAATGACTGTAAGAAATGAAGTAGTCCAATCTTCATTACATTTGTTCAGATTTGTCCCACACCACGACACCCGATTTTCATCAATATTATTTTCACAGAACAATTCTTGCCATTCCTGTAATCAAAATCAAATGTTGAGAGAAGCATTTTCCTTTCATATCATCAGATTATCAGTAGTACACTTTGTCTGATCTGACACAGTAACCTATTAGACATAATCATTAGACATAATGTAAGACTTCTTGGAATGGATTTCAAAACTTTTTCAATTTATATTTTCAACCAACCATTATCATTAGCTCAATTTTCAAACAAATTTCGTTTCAATGGACAGGAAATCACATGATGTGCTACATTACGGATGTATCAATCTCCATTAAGAAGAATGTTACCCATGAAACGTCGGAAGATGATTAATAACCTTACCCGACAAGAAATCAGTGCGCCAGTGATAACTGAAATAATTTCCGAGCATTGAGAAGGCAAGTCACAGCAGTCATCCTTAGCGTTCTTCACCAGAATATTTTCAATACTACTTGAACAAGCTCCAAACATATCACAACTTGATAACAGCCGGCGTCCATACTACAAAAAGGAAAAACACCAGCATTTGAATAAATTTGTTGCCACCTATAACACAATGATCTATAGTCCTATGCGTAAAATTCATTGCCTCGCTCTTATATTCTTCGAGCCCATTAAAATATCATTTATAGTATGACTTATATAAATGATTCACGAATGTATCCTGCACTAAGCCTTAAATCTGATGAAACAAACAAAAGTTGTTAAGGAGACTGTTTTATTGCAATTACTGAATGATCTCTACATCCCTACCAAAAGTGTCCTCTCTGGTAATTTTTCCATGTTACTATCATTTGGATAGATTGTGGAGCGTTGCTCAAACAACTGCAATAAATTCGCAAATCCAGCTGCTAGCATTTTTGCCATACGTAACGCATCAAGCCATAAAACTTGCAATGTCTCCTTCATAGTGACAGATCCTTCAGAATGCAACATCTTAAAAGAAATAATCAAATCGACAATCCTCATAAAATGAAAATTAAAACACTTCATTACAAAATGCATAACAAATTTAGATATTTGTTTTAAGGAATGAATTCTTTGAACGAAATAAAATACATAATACCATATTTTGACTTATTGCAGCGTCAGCTTCCAACACTGATATATTTGCAGGAACTAACTGGATTTCAGACTGTTTTTCCATACCACAATTCCTGAATAAAAAAAAGAAAGAAGGGATCAATGAATATTGTAAAGTTTTATACCACTCATAATTAATAGCATACGATATGAAAAACAAATAATGAATATAAAAAGAAAAAATTATGCTACATGGATAACGTTTGATTAGTTGTTACATTCATCCTTATCCCTTTAAGTTCTTCTTTCAGCTTTCCATTTTCAATTTCCAGAGTCCTATACTGTTCATTAAGAGCTGCCGTTGTTTCCATATACTCGTTTTCCAGTTCGGAAATCTAAAATATCCGAAATTTAGTTTATGAAGAAAGAGCACACAAAAATTTTCGCCTATTCCATTTAAAAATATCATTTCTGTATACATTTAATTTAAACAACAACGACTAACAACATTAACATTTTTTTATGAATTTCATTTGTATTGCAAGAGTAATAACTGGTTGCATCAAAAGCAATACCTTCTTATGCAGTGTTTCATTTTCTGCCACTTTCTTCTGCAATTCCATTTGTAGAATTCCATTATCTAATTCAAGTGAACGTTCTACACGCGTATTCTTTTGAAACAACAGTCCTCGTTTCTGGAGAAAGAGAAAATTCAAAAAACAGAACAAATCAAAGAAAAATTCATATCAAAAAAACCAACCTTAACAGATGTTTGTTTAACATTGTCGATTTCATTTTGCAATGATTCGACCCGCTTCACCAGCTGGCTATTCCGAAATTCAAATCCTTCCTTTTCATTTTCGAGTTTCCGCAATGCCAATTTGCTATTGTGCAAATCAATCTAAAAATCCCTAAGAAATCAAAAGGCAAGATTAAGTACTTTTCCGACACAATTCCCAGTTCACAAGGTGTTAAGACATAAATAGAACATTTATGAAAAATTATGGGAAACATTGCGACATTCAAATCAATCAAAGAACTGGGTAAAATGATTCGTTTTTTTTCTTCACTTTCAAGTCAGTTCATACGTAACTGACCGATAATTTTTCATTTTTTGCTTGTTCCGCAATAACCGCATTCTTCAACGTAGGTATCTGAGCTTTCAACTGCAAAAATAGAAGTATAGGTTTTCAAAAATTTTGATTTTATCAAAATTCACTGCTGGTTAGTAATTAGTCATAAAAGTAGTATCAGATATTTTGCTAATTTAAAGAAAAAAAGAAAAAAAATTAACATTAGGTTAACAATAGGAATAACTCTATGCAGCTTGATTTAATACCAACCGTTCTACTTTAAAACGCGTTAAATCTAGGAAAGCCCTAACAAATTTCAGTTGCCCTATATTTTACAGTTAAATTGCCTATGGTCCCTTCTGAATTCAAAATCTCCCAAATTGCATCAGGTACCCGCTAAACAAAAGCATGAAAGTTCGCCACTTCCTACACAACGATTTGACTGCGACTTTAAAAAAAAAAAGAAAAAAAGAAAGAAGAAAAAGAAAGGGAAACAACGGAAGTCCATCAAAAACAATTTTCCGGCAACTTTTACTACTTTCCAATAAAAAATGAGGTAAGGAAACCTTGGCATATTCAGCAGCGACCCGTTGATATTTGGTATTGATATCAGCATTCGAAGAGATTGTTGACATCTACACCCCACATCAACTCTTCTCACCACAATTTATTTTCAACCAGCTATCCGAAAATTCGAATCTAACGGATACGTAGAAAGCATTTCATAACATTATTTAAATAAAAGTTGAAATTCTTACCATAATTTCAAACAACACTCTTCCCTATCTTCCACCAATTTAAGTATCCGTTATTGCAAAAAAAATTTATTTCACAAGTGGTAGCTATAACAGTATATTGATAAAATACCACTATCGCCTTCAATATTACATAATATGCCATCCCGAAAACACTCGTGCACTAATTAATCCCCTTAAAATGTCAATCATCAAGAATTTTCTGTTACTGTAGAACGAACGACTCTGGACGTCATTTCTCTCCGGAAACCTGCTACGAAATTTAGTCACTCATCTATGTTAAAAATGAGTTTCCGATTATCATAGATCCGGATCAATCGGAAGAGTAACTGCAGAATTTATCTAAAATATACAAATGGTAGAACAAAGTGGAACAAAATATTAACATTGAAATATTAATACGTCTAAAAACGTCACGAATATATTTTGAAATTTACATGAATCAAATGTTTAAACAAAGAGAAACGAAGTTTATTTACCTCCACAAGAACCATAAACAAAAGTGTGGAAATGGTTATTATAACAACTGTAAATGAAAAAAAAAAGCACAAAATATGGATTAATATGATGTGAAAAGAAAGCTGTTAAATAACCGGTATAAACAATATCGCACTCAAATTCTATAACTTTTTGTCATGAACATTCCAAACCTTTAATATTTTATTTCAAACCCAACAAAAACACTATTAATCTACCAAGACTAAGATTTTCCACAGCAATAAGTTCAAAATTTTAAAAGTTTAACAACCAAATGTCGGTGCAAAGTCTCGGCAGCTGATAGCAACAAAAAGTTCTGCACGTATTCGATGACGCATAGCAATCACAAATTCATCAACCGTTCCTAAATTACCGGACAGAAAAAATGCACAGAGAAAGACAGGGAAAGGTAGAGTCCGAAAAGAAGGGAGCGACGATTCGATAAAGAAAAATTCGTAATACCAACAAGAAATATACAAGAAGCGGTTAGTGCTGTTTAGACATGAAATGTCAATAAATAAATACTAATAAACAAACTTTTAACTAATTTATTCGACCGCCTCGTTTTCCTTCGCTAAAAAGGATATAGGAGGATTCAATAATAGAAAAATAAAACATACATTTTTCAGGATGTGTGTGGTATAACTATATCCACGACATTGCTCACGCTATCTGCTAGTTTCGGGAATCCTCGAGTCAACATGTTCTGCTTAACTAGAAAGAAATAAATCTCGGGTAAGCTGTCAATGACTATCTTAGCAATTATAAATCATCGTGTTGAATACATATAAAAGCGGATAAAATACAACTGATCAACAAAACGCATGGTGTGAACGACAATAACAGATATGCATAGAATCATTGAGATGGACAAATATTAAAGGAAATTTCTGAGTTGAACGGGGAAAACTACATTTCCAGTATATAGTACACTGTACTATGATAAAGCAAAACCGTCCATCATGCACGACATGTGTTATCCGTTGCTGTTACACTGCGATCAGCACAGAAACTGGAACAAATCCAATTACCATTCGGCGGAGATGATAAACCAACACAAAATGTATGATAACCGCGGTCACAACGATCGCAAAACATCATTGCATCCTGTAAACGCTCATTTAATGATGTTCTACAAATGTACGCACAAACAGATCTCTAAAACGACTCTTGAAACGTTAGTAATGTTGAGCAAAGCAAATGTCTCTCATTAAATAACCGCGAAAGTTATGTATACCCTGAATATTCTCAGTCCACAAATTATGGCTGAAGTTGAAGAAAGGTATAAAGTGAATCAACCTAAACTGATTAAGGGATTTCAGGAATTTCACTAAACAACAATCCCATAGCAAGCCGAAAAAATAAATAAATATTGAATCGAAGATAACATGAAAAGGCTCTACATAAAATTGGAAAAATTCGGCCAGCAAATAGAACATCCTACATTCTTCTAGCAATATTCCGAATTTTTTATCCTAAAATAGTACTTTCTCCTAAATTGTATTTGTTAGGAAGTCCTGGATTTACAATATTTTCATATAACATAATCCGCTTTATATCAGATTTCTTTCCTTTATTCCCATTTTTGCATTATTCTGGAAGTTTATGAAACCTAGCAACAACATCAACCAAACACCATAACTTATTTTACCTCATTATCCGGTTTTTCGCATATCGTACATTTCTTGCATTCAATGCAGTTCCATCTGTAATTCAGTGCAACCTTAACGACGTGTTCTGGCAAACCAGCACAGTCCGGATGTACTACATTATTGCAATTAAAACAGGATAACATTTGACGCTCCTCATTTTCACCGCATATCGAACACTGTTGCTGCTGTTGCTTAGTAAAGTCCTATAATTATAATATTAGAATTGCTTTTTTGCGGTTTCATGAGACATTCACGCATATCCTAACAATTCCTTCCCCAAATTAAACCCACCTTATCGTTGGTCACTAAAAAATCATGCCTTCTCGAATATACCCTCCATTCCTTTATTTTCAATTGAATTTAAGGATAAAATGAAAAGTTTCTGCATTTAAGTGATCAATTCCATTAATCTGGAGAAAATAATCGAAGAGATTACCAGTCAGACAATAATGTAATATGAGAAAAACTGATGAGGAGGAAAAACGATTGATGAAATTTGATACATTGTTTGGAAGGAAAAAAAATTTGCGTTCCCTCGACATATTTCCCCTCTTCCAAATAAAATTTATGGAAAATTTATTCCCATTACTCACTCAATAACAGCAGTATTCTTCTCTTTTCTCTTCTTTTTTCTCAACTACAATAATTCTCACAACGAACTACATCCTGTTATGGGGAAATCAATGATCTTTTCAGTGAAAGATGGCAAAAACGAAAGAATTGATGAAATGGGAAAAGCATCACGAAAAACTAGCCTAACATAATCAGTGATCAGTTGTGCAACTTGTTATTGTTCTCAATATAAATAAATAAGTGGATAATTGGAAAAATAAATACATAAATGAATGATAAATGTTTTTGGATTGTCATCTCATCATGTTTCAAATACAAAGTATCAAACTTTGTTTCCCGTTTTGCTTTTGCTCTTTCAGAAATTTCTAGCTTCATGATATGTCTAAAAAAGAGTAAACTACATTTTTAAATTGATAAGAATTTACTAGATTTAAACTACTACGATAATAAAATATCCTTAAATCAGCATAAATGTATAATTTACTATTCATATTTACTACGCCATATATCCACAATGGTCTGAAAAGCGAAAATGCAATTATAACAATAGCAGTTCGAAAAAAAACCCATACATCACAACAGGAAAAATTTTCAAAATATTGGAACAACAATGTACCTGTCAGAAACGAATCCAGTTAATTTAGAGATCAGAATAATCGTTAAATAAAATTATTGAAATAAATCTTTTCTCTTGGCATACTGTTATTTATGAAGCATTAAATCAAATTTTGCGAAGTACTAAGCATCACTAAAAAGCCATATACAAGTGCCGTATACGTATAAGATGTGAATTCAAATATATAATAAAACAAGGCATATATTTGGTAAAAAGAATACTCGATGAAGAAAGACATGTAAAAATGCTAAGACATAAAGAAAAAGAGAGAGAGACGAAATAAGCGAAGAAGTTGATCCTCGGTGCATTACCATCCATATTACTGAAAGATTGAGAAGTTTCCCTGAGGGTTTTTATTTTATTTTTCGATTACGCACTGTATTGCACTTTATTGAGAATTTCCGATTTTCAGCTGATATACTGCCATCATCTCATGAAAACTTTGTGCTTTTTTGAAAAAAGAGGGAAAATAGACACAAGGAAATAAGAAATTGTTATTAATTATGCAAGCAAATAAACAGATGCTATAAAAATGACGAGATCTTGAAAGCAATGACTCGTCATTTTTCCAAGGATATTGTAAAGTTCTTTTTTGCACCCAGGAAAACTACTAACTAAATTTCGATACAATGAAAGTCAGAGTAAGACAAAAAGCCTACCTCTGGGGGATAAAGGAATAAAACCAAATTCGTGGATGCAGTCAAAAATTAACTAAAGAACTGATTATCATGAAATTCCGGCCATGTAAATCTCCTGGAACCACGGTGAGCAACAATCCGACCACTCAAACAGGCTGTTGAAATTCAGCTAGCAATAATCAAGGCACATAATTTTACAATATACAAATGATAAACCCTGCAAAAGCAACAGCTCACATGCAAGAGGAAATTAGCAAATCCAAAAGTTATATTACAATGTATTTTAAACAACAGTTGTACCAAAAAAGAAAAAGAAAATAAGAAAGAAAAATCAATTGCAGCGCCTAACATCATTCCGTATCCTGCAGTAATTCTAGCCTAAATCCCTCAAGCATCATCTGTGATGCAAAAGGTCCAAATGATCACTTCGTACGAGGTTATTTAGTTAAGACGAAAGTTTCAAATAAAAAACAAAGTTTTATTTTATGGAAACTTAAAACTTAAGTACTGAAAACAAAGATTTCCAATTACGTCAGTTGTCGACGACAAAACGAGTGGATTCTTCCGGCCAGTACATCTGAAGATATCAACAAATTGATGAAAAGTTTATATCAGATGACTGGATGAGAGATCCTGGATGATATTAAGGTAATGTGAAAGCAGAAGGAAGAAAATACGTCAATTCATTTTTTGAAGAAACAAAGGGAATCGCAGATACAAGATAAGAAATGATGACACATATTACCCTATCATTAGCTATCATCCTTTAGAAAAATTTGCAAGTGGACCGTGAAAATACATCAGCCCTTCAAATAATAAAGCACTAACCTGTGAATCCACTTTATCCAGATTTGTTTTAATATCGTCATTATAATTAGAGGGTAATAAAACAGGAGGGGGTAGCTCGAGCTGATTATCATGCTGTCCAGCATCACTACTGTCAACATTTGTTGTTGCTGTTACCTCTTCCTCATGAACAATCACAGGCAGCGGTGAAACAGGTCGTTTAGGAGGCAGAAGGTAATCATAATCCAGTACCGTGGACAACGGTAATCGACGTAATTCTTTTGGAGTGAACCTTAAATTTGCAACCCGATCTAAGTAAAATTCAGTTCACTGAAATTCAAAGGCACCACAGAAACAACAATGACTAATATGATGAACGAAAATTACGGATTCATCGGCCAACAATGACATTGGAAAATCAAAGAAATAATTACTTTTTGTAGAAATGCTGATATTGACCATGAATAAGAGCAGCAGGATAAGGTCCTGGCCGTGTGTATTCTGGAGGCATCCGCTTCCATCGATTTTTTGATGATTGAATGATCTAAAAAGAAAAAAGAGTTATTTTCACACAAACTGACAACTCAAAATTAAACGATATAAAATTTCGTAACATACCGATGTTTGCAGATCCCAAAAATAGCGTCGTTCGCTCCGTTTAATTGCGTTCATTTCAGAATTAAATTCAAAAGCGCTCCTTATAGCGCTTTTCCTCAGCTCATCCATCTTCTTTGTATCCAGTTTTATCTGTAATATTGCATGGATAAATCTTATTCAAAACGGAAAATCGTTTTTTCTCTAAATATCTAATTAAAATAATGATAGACATACAGCATCCAGTCGTTTTTGTTCTTCTGCCATTTGCAGTTTCACTTTATCGGCTGCCGCCCTCTGGTATTCCTCAAGTGAAAAAAATAAGAACAGAAAAAGAACATGTCTGCTAAAGATAGAATGCACTACTAAAGACTGGTTATGTTTCAAATATAGTTTTGCTTAAAAAAAGAAAAAAAAGGAAAAACGAAACCAGTATATAGCTCACCGAATATACAGCTGGATAATCCGAAGCCATCAATTCGTGAACCTCAATTGCCCTTAAGGCTGTCAGACCATGCATTTCTGGAAATATGGAATACATTTATCCCAAATACCATCTAGATTTGGACAGCAACATACTCTAATAAACAAACTGTCGGTAAAGCTAGAATTTTTTCACTGAACGATCCTTTATAATCTTAATAACAATATCACAATGAATTTGTAAGGCATTCATTTAACACTTTCCGCAGTCAATAAAAGTAGAATAAAAAATATGTAAATACAAAAGAAAATCAAAAATCGGAGTACTCTTAAAAAGAGTATTACATGAATAGTGTAGCAAAATCTAGCATTACACAGCAAAATATCTGTAATTATAAACAAGGAAAATACTTGATTTGAAACTTACGATGTTCATTTATGGCTGTAGCAAGCTTATAATTAGCCAGCAAATACTCCCTTTCATTGATTTCAATGGTATGTCGGCTCAACTCTGGATACTTTCTTTTGAATGATTTCACATCCAGCAGCTCCGCAATTTGTTCCTAAAATATTATGCCACACTGAACCGCAATTAAAATATTAAAGTAGTCTTACAACGAGTGACATTCCGAAAGGGATTATATATATACAATGCACGTTGCAAAGCAATGACGAATTGTGAATCTGTCATGGCGAAACGTGAAATAAGCGTTAAAAAAGCAGGGAAGACACGTGCTGAAGCATTTGAAAAAAATGGTAGGTAAGACTATGACCATCATTTCTGATTTTGCCATAAGATGTTCATCCAGTCGTGAGTTTGCCATAATGCAAACGAAGAAAGCAAGCAACGGAAAACGAAAAAAAAAAGGATGAGAGGATCTCAATTGACAGGACTAAATTTCAACATGAACTAAATATGTTATATTAACAAAAACAGTTAAACCTTTGAAATGGTGAAGAGATATAAAATATCGAATTCCACATAGAATCATCATAACATGTAAAGTGACCCAGAAGGTACACGATACAAAAAGCACTACGGTTAATTTCGGTAAGAAATTGCAATGCAACATAAACGGAGGAAACCATAAGAGAAACAAAACGGCAAATTTACATGAAACTAATAGTTAACATAAAATGACAGGACTAAAAAAAAATGCCAATGAAAAGCACAACGACAATTTACATAACGAAAGGTAATGTCATTTAAAATAATATAAAATGGGGACCTACCTGGATAAAGTAACGTTCCCCTGATTTTGGTGGCCATTCGTACTCAATAATATGACTCGGTTCAATATGCATATGTGTTGTATCCGCTGTAATGACACGTGTTGACGAACTCTTGACTAATCGACCTTCTTTGCCACCTATAATACGTTTATTACTATAAAGATATGTGAGGAAAAATTCATAATAAGTTGACTGAGTAAGAAATACAGCATGAGTCAATGATTATTTCCATTTCGCAATTTTGTCAAATAATTCTAACATTTAAAGGGATTTTGCAAAATATATGTTAGCGACCCAAAATATGCTCAGCTAGAAATCCCTAGAGATGATAATAGATATCATAAATGCTCTTCGGGAAGTTTGAAACGTTGATGTTACATCTTAACTGATAAATTCGTCAAAAAATACATAAAGCTAATTAAAAATGGATAGTTGACATTACCGGTTTTTGGTGTTCCTTCAACTGGAATCGACTCGGAATCTGGAACTGGCAAGGATAATTTTGTTGATTCATTACTGATTTCATCAACAACTGTTGTAGATGTAAGTATCGATGTTGGCGCTTCACTCAGTTTCGAACTTGACGATTCATCCCCGCCTAGCACGATATCCATCACTAAAATCAATTTAAGAAAATAAAATGAATCAGTACGAAAAAACGTGAAATAGATAAAGATGGAAATTGTTCATAATCTAATTTTGGGTGCCACATCCGAAGAAAACATTTGAAAACCTGTACTTTTAGTTGAAAAATTTATGATCTAAATGAAATTTATTGCAATATGGTCATATATGCAGCACCATACCAGAATTTACACACACAGCACATACCGGACGTCACCACATGCATAACATCATAATAGACGTTACGTACGTAGTATCATAGCAGATGTCATATGTATAACAACATATTGGACATCATACGCACAACACTATACCAGACATTACATGCACCATACTGGAAGCAACAAAACGCAATCTGTCTTCAATAATTTCAGTTATACCCTTTCTAATATTTAACGCAACGCCCATTATGCAAATTAATTTCCGGTTAACAAACAATTGATAATTTTTAAGTTTGTGACTCTTTTGTGGAATTTGCATGGAAAAAGACCAACCGGAAGAGGAATACGATTATTTGGAGCGTGCAATTCGGAAAACTGGATGTTGGGAAGAGCATTTAGCATGTGCCGAATGTATGGGTGACACAAGAGATTGGAGAGCGTGCAAAGAAGAGGTAACATCCTGTTTTATCTTTTATCATTATTACAAATGCAGGATCTCGTTTTTTGTTTAAAATGCCATAGTTCTGATACACATTTCTTCAGCAACTTTACTTGTACGTCGATGTCATTTAACATCAGTAATTACTGCACTGTAACACGAACCAGTAACCTGTTATTGGTAGTACTTAACTGTTGTCTGTTAGTAGTACTTTGGTATTATCAGTCATTATTCATTGGTAGAAAAACAATTAATTAATTAAGGGTAAGTTTCTGAAGGCAATTAATTCATTAGCATAGGCAATAAAGATAATAAATTCCTTAGCCTAAGCATCATTTAGTCGACTTAAATTGGCTGTGATTGTTGGACATTATTTGCACGTCTTTAACGTCAACGTTATTTGGCTATTATTATACGTTAGCATTAATTGAAAAGGAAAGCTCTGGCTCAAAATTAGCCGACTTTTTGTTTTGCAGTTGCAGAAATTCAGAGATTGCATGCAAAACTATATGAAGGATAAGGTGGTACCGTCTGGGAAAGCGTCAAATTAAATGATTGCTAATGTTAGTATATCAATAATAAGTTTATATCAGATTGACAATGTTTCAATTATCATCAAATCTGAAATATTCTAATGTTCTTCATATCTCCAGCAGTTTAATTTTTAATCTTTCAGAATTAAAAGTTAATTATTTCTGGAAAACATTCCATTCCATTAAAAGAAGCAATGCTTTCCGAATTGTTTGACGAACTCATTATTGACTCGGATGATTTTAATGTTGATAACCGTTCTCGTCTCAATTATACTGACCCATATTTATACGTGCCTTTAGACCGATCACCTAGATGGTTCCTTAATGATAATTTAGTTAGTTTCAATTTTTTTTTTCAATTTTTTGTGACTTTTTGTTTTTTTCTCTTCATTACATTTCCTTTTATTTTACCTTTATTCAGCTCTAGTTTCAATATCTTAAGCATAACAATGGTAACAAGACTCGTGAATTCGTCCAAAACCGAGCTGCCTTCGCTTATCTTCATGGCGATTATATCACCTCAATGGATGTATGTTATTTTATTCAATACCAGATTTTATGAACAAGTAGCAGAAAAGGCGTCCGTCTTTATTCGTAACATTTTTGTGACTGCCTTTTCCAATAATAAAACTATTTATTTACTTAATACAATTGATTACCACTTGATCCTTTTTCAACGCATGATGTTGTTTAATCAGCAAACAACACCCAGACATTTCACCTTTTCAGATTTACTTCCATTTGTTGGAAAATGAAACAAAAAATGGTAGCAGCAGCTCCATTTTTGCTTTAATCGATTCTATTATTCGATGCGGCTTAAAAGTAAGTTTCTCTTGTCCACTTTATAAATTTCTTCTTATATCTTTTTGCTCCATATCTATGGTAGTAGAATCATTCTAGATTGCTCCAATAAATGGTCCTCAGTTACTCTCGTTTCTTCAAAAACTACACGCACTGGTGTCAACACAGGATGAACAGTTACAGTACTGGGCAGAAAGTTTGGAGGTATGCTCTTCATTATTGCGATTCATTTTTTTTGAAAACAGACTAATATTTGGTAAGCCATGCAATTGTGATATTATTAAAGGGAGAATAAAAAATAAGTGTATTACTTTGCCATGATGTTTCAGGTGTATTTAGCAGCTGGAATCAGTACCAGCGACTATTTACGGAATGCAATTTTATTATGTGCCAGTGTCGACTTACCAGAATTTTGGGTTTTAATTTCAAAAAATGCTCCAGTAATTTCTTCTTCGTTCCGTACTTCGTATAGCAAAGTGGTCAATGGTGAGTTAAAAGCGATCCGGAGCTAATGCAAACAATGCTAATTTCAGGACTGTTTTGCAAATCTTCGAATTGGATCATTGTGCCGCGCTATTTACATTCTGGAAAATCTACTGCCATCCAAGACTATATGCTTCGATTCTCATGATTTTAAACAAATGAAAGCAGAGCTCCAGGGTCTTTGTAGTAAAGAAAAGGCATGCCTCCTCCTTTTTCTCCTTTCATGTTCTACAAAACTAGAAGCTTTATTGAATCTGTTTATTTTGCACATACTATTTCCTTTTTGATATCTTAACCATCTTATACTTTTCCAGTTATCCGAAGCAAAAGCAGCCGTTTGCATCGATCTTGTAAGAAGCGAAAAGGCTAATACAGCAGTTAACCGTCCTTCTCTCTGTAAAGCTGTCCTGAAGGACAAAAAAGCCGAAGACATGATGATACTTGAATTCATTCGTCGTTTTTATTGGCTGTTTACCGATGTGAAGCAACAATCAGTTAATGACATGCTACAGATTTCGTAAATTATAGCTAGAACCTCTCAAAAACCATTGTTTATTTTCAATGAATTTATGCAAAGAATTCTTTGCCGTCAACAAAACACAAGAAAGTGAATAAACAAGTTGGAAAACTTGAACACATGTAAATTAAACTATACAGTGATTACACACCCAATCAAAAGCAAATTGGTACTATATATACATATACAAAACTACGGTAACGAACATTATACAACGTTATCACTTACAGGCGATTGTATGAATTCCTCTTTTTTTCTGTGTTCCTTGTCGCGCTGTTCTTAAAAAAATTATGGTAGGAAAAATTACAATAAAAAACCATACAAAATTATGCTCCCACACTGAGATATTCAATGAAAAGCGCACTTGTGACAAAAGTTGCGAAAAGGCACCTACAAAATTCTTCATATTTCGTAGTAGCTCCAGTTGCGCCCATCGCAGCATTCCTCAGTTAAAGCAACTTTAAGATTTTTTAAGCAACATTTTAATGGAACAGATCACACGAATTCTGAATTTGTTGGGAAATCCGTTTCTCTGATTGGGAACTGGCATAAAGTGGAAGTAAAAAACCTTCCACATCTACCAAATGCTTTGGAACAAAGATTTTGTGTCTTGTTCTCCCCAGTATTGTGCTGAAACAGGAAAAAAAATGCATTACTTCTTTTCTCAAGTGTTTTTCGCCAACGACGATCTAGACGTGCTTGATCTGCGCGTATACTATGATATATATCTCTGAGCTCTTGCATACGCTCCTGATAACAATTTATTAGCGCTTCCCCAGTTGAATTTTCGTCTGTAATAAAACCAACAACATCTGTATAAACTATTTGGATTTCAGATTTTGTATTCTACATTTCTGTAGTCTCAAGTTAGTTAATTTTCGAAATAACTAACTAAGCTCCAACTAATTCCTGTAGCATTGACTTCAACAATAATGCATTTAATTAAAAATGCCGAAACTAGTCAAGTATAAGGGCTTATTATACAACAGAAAATTCAAAAATACCAATTGGTTCCAAATTCAATTCCTTTTCAGCATATACCATAGCTCCTTCTAATTCAACTTTTTGTTGCATACGTACTTTCAAAGCATGCCAACTATCCCTTACGTTAGGCAAACCTTTGAAACAAACCATATAAATGCAATAAATATTGAACACAAAACGTAAATAACCTATATGAACTTGAAAGATTATTTCAATCTAGACTGACGAATACATTCCCAATATCTTTTAAAGCAACATTTTTTTGCTCACCTTAAAATTTTCTTTTAAAAAAATTAGTCATCTACCAACTGTGGAATGTTAAGTAAGCAGGCAAAACACACTTTCATCATCACTCGATGAGCATTCCTCACTTTCTTTACTTCGCTCCTCACTGTTTGTTTGTTTGGATCCTCCCTTTCCAACGCCTTTACGTTCGGCCAATGTATTCGACGCATTTCTACCAACTTTCTTCTTTTTCATTCCACGACCACGTTGCTTAAGTCCCAAAGACATCGGCGGATGCCAAGCTAAAAATTTTTGCGTACATTATTATTCAGACTATACTATTATAAAACACTCGACTTCCTTGTTGAACTAGCTTCTTCAGCTCGTATCTTAATTTCCTTGACAGATTCCCATATTATCAAAATGAACTCCAGAATTTTTAACGGAAAACAACAATGCTTACAACATGCACAAGTGATCCAACGAAATATCATTTGGAAATTATG